CATTAATTATCATCAACTTTTCGTTATCAGTTAGTGATGCATTGCTTCATTTTGTAGAGAAACTATCCATAGTAGGGTAAAAAAATATAAGTAAAAATGTTTATTCGAAGTCATTGTAATATATATATTTTTTTCAGCCCATTTTGTTTTAGTCATACGGTATTTTTCTTGGTGTAAAATCCTTTCCTTTTCGGGTGAGGTACCAATCTTTTTACACCAGCCCATACATATATTTAAGGTTACTTGTCTAAACCTCTTCAAAATTCTACGATTAGTTTCATCAAAATTTTACTATAGATTTATTATAGTTTTGGCAGAGTTTCAGCAGTTTCGGCATTTATAATAAGTTTTGGCAGTTTCGCCTTTCTCTAAAGTTTCACCAGTTTTTTAATATAACTTTAATATAGTTTCAGCAGAATTTCGCTTTTCGGTAAAATGCCATCTTGCCTAAACCCCTAAGTTTCAGCAAGCAACCTTACATGTATTGACATCAAATTAAAACCAATCAAGATAAAATTTGAAATATAAATTATTTATCACATAAACTACCAAAATGTACTAGATTTAATGTAGATTAATTTGTTAATTTTTCAAGTATAATACAATTTATCAAAAAAATGTGATGCATTACTTTTGTGATTTTTATATTTTTTAATAAATTAAACATTTAATAAAAATTAGTAATATGTTTTATTATAAATTAAGTGATAATAAATATTAAATGGTCTAATTTATTAAAAAAAATCAATTATTTTAATAGTTTATAATTAATTTTATTTAGGTAATATATTTAATAATTACTATATTAATATATATAAAATTATAAGATTAATATATATATAATTAAAAATATTAAAAAAAAAAATATTTTTGTAATAAAATTACTAAATTTTTCATGATGAGAGAAACATTTTTTTAAAAAAAATGAAGTAGTCAAGTTTGTAGATCAAAAATAATTAATTATTAAAGATTAGTAATGATCTTCATTTTATATAGAAAGAGAATATTTCATTTATTGCCGTTTTCAGAAATGTTGACATTAGAATGTCGATCATTTCTATAAATCGAACACACCGAACACACACCGAACACAGCAATTAAAATTAAAAAAAACAAATTTTCCTTTAAAAAAAGCAAAATTAAAACTTTAGTAATATATTTTTAGGTAGTGTGCATAAAAAAATGTATATGTATTCACTTGTATTTGCTTGTATTTGCCAATGTTCGGTGTGTTCGTTTGTGTTCGGTGTGTGTTCGGTACAAATTTTCATATTTTCAATTTTATTTATATCTAAAAAGTGACAAAAATAGTTTTTATATAAAGTTATGCATGAATACTTCAAGTTTGCATAATTTTTTGTATGTGTTCACGGTGTGTTCGGTGTGTTCGGTATAAAATGGTCAAAATTTCAGATTGTCAACATTTCTGAAAATGGCAATAATAACTTTGCATCTAATAATCACAGAAAAATGAAATAGAGTTCATCATAATTGTCTCATCAAGTCGATTCTAATGGTAGTTGTTTTATATTTCTAGATGTGATAGATAAGAAGTAATCCTTAAAAATGTAACAGATCAGTATTTTATTTTTAGTATTTATTATATTACACAGATATTTTGGCATTTAATTTCTCATCTAATAATCAAAAAAAGTTGAAATACAGCTCATTGAAATTGTCTTATTGCTTAAAACGAATCCAATAGTAGTTGTTTCATATCTCTAGACATGATAGATGGGGTACTAAATATCAAAACATCTGTATAATAAGGACCCTGAAAAATGCTTATATATGTAAGGTACCAAGGTGCTTAGCCAACATAGTAAAGTTTTAGGATGTAAGAATTTTATAATGCTTAATTTTAAGAAAATTTTATACTATGTAATAAGATAATTAAATTGCATATTTTTGGTATTATTTTAAAATACTAAGAGTTTTTAGTTGCTTATTTTCATATTTATATAACTTTTTAAAATATTATATATTGAATTTATAATTTTATTTTCACTAACGGTGAGTGTTAATTTTGTACTACATTTCACAATTTTATATAAATACATAAACAAAAATTTTTTTTGATGAAATTTCATTTTTTTTTTCAATATTTTATTAATTATCTGTTAATAGTATCTTTTTAATTTTTATTAAACTCAGTGTATTATTTTTAATATAAAACTAGTGTTCACCGTTGTCTACGACAACGGTTAATAATGTATTAAAATGGCATAATTCCGGCCAGAATTAAAAGATCTGCAAAGAATTTCCTTTTTGAAAATTTCGAGCAACACAATTTTTTAAATTTCTCTGAAAAGTAACAGAAGATAAAATTTCCTTTTTTGGAAATTAGTGTAACTGTCAATTTCCTTTTATGGAACTCTGCGTAACCCAAATTTCAGTTTTTCGCCAGAAATAAAATTTCCTTTTTTGGTCTTGTGTAACATTGGCGACGAATAGGAGTAGGGTTACACAATTCAAATGACTTATTTATATGGTTAATCTAAACATAACGCCCACGTGATTGCAGTGTTTTTTAATATATAGAAGATAGATTACTATATTATACATGTTTATTTTGTTAAATAAAATTACTATAAATATGTTTTACTTTAAAATATAATTTCACTACTCACCACTTTGGTTATATCGAATTATCTTTTATGCTTATGTAAGTTTGTTTAGCAAGTTAAATCTACTT